AGCATCACCAGGGATGACACCCAGCGTCTGCTGATGTCTATGCGTTCCACACTTCAGGATGTCATTGACTGCAAAGGATTTGCAACCAAGGATTAAAAAGTGAAAGTTTGATTTATGATGATTATTCTGTCCCATTACTTTTGGTCCCTTAACAAGTGAGAGGCACATATGCAAACGGTTGTAATTCCTACACCGTTCACCTGATTTGAATGTAAATACCCTCAAATTGAAACTGACAGTCTGCAGTTAAAGCACATCTTGTTCGTTTCATTTCAAATCCATTGTGGTGTATAGAGCCAAAAATGTTAGAATTGTGTCCATGTCCCAATATTTATGGACCTGACTGTATATTTGAAATGCTACAATTTTGGCCGTATTCAATATATTAAAAAAAAAAATAATAATAATATATATATATATATATATATACTGTATATACACTGCATGTTGAAATGCATTTTTTATATACTACAAAGTATATGAAAAATATTTTTAAAAATCTTTTTTTTTTAAATATATTCTTCAGAATTTTTTTTAACAGATAAAGTAGTCATTTTAACATATATTTTTACATTAATTTGTAAATACATTCCAAATTGTAGATTTGTATTTTTAAAGACATACATTTGAAATATATTTTTAAAAAAATATTTTTCATATATTTTGTAATAAAAATGCATTTCAACATGCAGTATATATATATATTTTTATTGAAATATATTTTAAAATATATTGAATTGTAGCATTTCAAATATATGTCAATATTAGAGATGAGCGAATTATTCAAAAATTCGATTCGGCTGATTCGCCGAATTTGCGGGAGAAATTCGATTTGATGCGAATTTATTCGCCGCAAATTTAACTTATTAAAAGGGTTTCTAGGCTTCAGAGAGCCTTTATATTAGTGCAGAACACTGTACCTTTAATTTAAATGCCCTTGGAGTCTGCTGGGGAAGAGAAATAATACTGTCAGTCAGTATGACATGCAGATGAGTGCCGTCCATCTTAGAATCACCGCACACTTCACTCATTTGGGCAGTCACGGGGCACGACGAAGAAGAAGAAGAAGAAGAAGAAGAATGAAAAGAAGAATGAAAAGAAGAAGAATGAAAAGAAGAATGAAAAGAAGAAGAAGAAGAATGAAAAGAAGAAGAAGAAGAATGAAAAGAAGAAGAAGAATGAAAAGAAGAATGAAAAGAAGGAGAATGAAAAGAAGAAGAAGAAGAATGAAAAGAAGAAGAATGAAAAGAATGAAAAGAAGAAGAAGAAAAATGAAAAGAAGAATGAAAAGAAGCAGAAGAATGAAAAGAAGAAGAAGAAGAATGAAAAGAAGAAGAAGAAGAAGAAAAGAAAAGAAGAAGAAGAAGAATGAAAAGAAGAATGAAAAGAAGAAGAATGAAAAGAAGAAGAAGAATGAAAAGAAGAATGAAAAGAAGAAGAATGAAAAGAAGAAGAATAAGAATGAAAAGAAGAATGAAAAGAAGAAGAAGAATGAAGAAAAGAAGAAGAATGAAAAGAAGAATGAAAAGAAGAAGAAGAAGAATGAAAAGAAGAATGAAAAGAAGAAGAAGAAGAATGAAAAGAAGAATGAAAAGAAGAAGAAGAAGAATGAAAAGAAGAATGAAAAGAAGAAGAAGAAGAATGAAAAGAAGAAGAAGAATAAAAAGAAGAAGAAGAATGAAAAGAAGAAGAAGAAGAATGAAAAGAAGAAGAAGAAGAATGAAAAGAAGAAGAAGAAGAATATAAAGAAGAATGAAAAGAAGAAGAATGAAAAGAAGAAGAAGAAGAATGAAAAGAAGAAGAAGAAGAATGAAAAGAAGAATGAAAAGAAGAAGAAGAAGAATGAAAAGAAGAAGAAGAAGAATGAAAAGAAGAAGAATTAAAGTACAGCAAAAAGTGTATCTGCAGAGAGCTCCGCTATTTCTGACAGTTCTCTGACAGTTCCTTCACATTTACAGCGGTTGAAACATTGTATCTATTTATTTCCGAATAAAAACATCTGTATCCTAAATGGAAACAAATAGATACAATGTTTCAACCGCTGTAAATGAACTGTCAGAACTGTCAGAAATAGCGGAGCTCTCTGCAGTGACACTTTTGCCGGCTGATCGGGAAAAATTTGATTCGTGCACCCGAAGTTTGCTAAAATTCGGATTCGATGCGAATCGAATTTTTCCTGATATTCGAAACGAATTCCACTTCGCCAGGTTCGATTCGCTCATCTCTAGTCAATATATTTGGAAAGAATATTTTAAAAATATATTTCAAATATATTTTTCTTCCATGTGGGTGTGACCCGGCCAAAGTGTGGATCTATTATCCTCCGTTCACTGCAACTATCACCCTGCCACTGCCAGCCACAGAAACATTCCATCCGTGGCACTGATTTGTCTTTAATATTGGTGCTGGTGGCATTTTATGGCACTTATGTTTGCAATTTAATAGAAATTTAGCAGTTTCATGCTTTGTTGATGTCATATTTTCTGTTTTTAAATTATTTTTCCGGGGGGGGGGGGGGGGGGGCACAAGTAGCTGATCTTGCGTAGGGCGCAAAATAGTCTAGCGCCGGCCCTGCCTGCAGTGTCAGGGTCACTCGTAGCAGACTGCTTTCCTGGGACATTGGTGAGGATATCCTGCTGTACATTCTGGTGGGGGAGGACGAGGCTGGGGTCAGCACCGTGCAGGGGCCCCTCGGAGCCCATGTGTATAAGTTGTTACTTTATATCCAAAGACGATTCAATATTTGAATAACTTCTCACGTAGCAAGTCATCTATATATCCATTTTATGCCAACGTCTGCAAACACAGCGGTGAGAGCGTTTACCGGGGAGACAGAAAAGATTTTCTCTCCTGGCATGGAAACTGATGTCATTTAGAATCCTAAAACATAATTAAATTTTAAGTAAGCTAAATAAATATAAGTAAGACAAAGAACATGCGCTGCGTAATGCAATTACAGAGTAACAGATGGCGAGTGTTTATCTGTGAAATTATTGAGAGGACGGGATGATAGAAGGAGATACACCATTACAGGGGGGGGAGTGTCGCTCAGTCACTCATCCGCATTGAGGTGCTAAGGAAGGATTTTTTGGTTCTCTTTTTTATGGAAATGCCTCATTTTCTTGCGATCTCTCCATGGACTAAGGCAGATTAATCTGCCGATCCCAGAACTCAGAGATCTCTCTTACCTTGTTATGCAGCTATACCATATTTCACCAACAGGCGGTGCTACAGGTAACATCTGTCTTTGCCGCACCTGGTTCTGGTGAAGCCCAAGAGTGGAGGAGGGGGAGGGGTCTCAAATCTTACTACAGAAAAAAGATATGAGGGTGCCAATCAGGACAAGGTCACGTAGCGCTCAGGGTGAAAATGACAAAGTATGCCCACCGGCGCCACTCCCCCCAAAACACCTACCCCCCCGTTAAGTGTGTGCATCATGCCTGTAACAGAACCAACCCAAGTCTGCGCTTAGGTACTTCCGTTAGAATACTGCTTCCCCGTCCGAACACCGACCACAGACACCACAGCAGACCATACAAGACTAGACGACACCAGTCTTGAAGTAAACCAGGAGGTAAACTAGTTTATTTGAACACAGATACAAGATATATACACTCAGGGGGCAATCCCCCCTCCCTGCATAATGACACAGGGCGGGGCAATCTACATTTAGTAACAAGAGACACACAGGTATTCAAACTTCACACCAGCAGACAGTCCCATCAGGAGGGAGGGCTGCTGGAGACACCCCCCACCAAGCCAATACACATAAACACATACATCCCATAATAGTTTGCTCCCAAGCAAGACACACAATAGAACAATGGGATACAACCACATGGCATTAAACAATCCACAACCCTCCACCCCACCCCACCTATCTCCTAGATATGTCTACACAATATGAGGACAGATCACCCTGTACCCCTAACAGGCACAGGGTGACTTACACATAAGAGGGATATGGGGAGCTGGGACAGGGGTCTCCCCACCTCTCCAAAGGGAGCTGGGTTCCATGGGCCCCCCACCCAAAGTGACTCCCATCACAATGCCCTTTCTAATCATCCTAAAAAAAGCCCATCATAGATCTGCACACTGCCCCACCCTCCACCAAGCATAAGTTCCCTCTACAAGGCAATGTTCTCCCCAAATAAAATTGAAAACATGCCCCCTTCTCTGCCCCCAACTTCACTGCACCTCCTGCCCACCTCTTGTCTCGGCCCTGGTGCCAATTAGAAGGTCCACCCAAAAAATGGTGCTTAAGAGATATTTAAGGGTTTTTTATTTTCCATTTTGAAGACTTTTTTGTTTATTAAATGACGGATGATACAAGGAGATTTACTTCACATTCTTTGCATTGCTCGCCAGCATCTTTTTCAGTTCTTTCTCGTTGTGTTTCTTAGCAAAATGCATATTCCTCAGGAACTTGGGATCTACCCCCTTGAGAGACTCGTATCTCTGGGATCAGGGTTTCTTGATGCCGTTCCTCTGCCATTTGTGAGATTGGTTGTGGGTGGTGTGGTTCTTGGACTTTATGGATTCCCGATGTCTGCCAGAACCAGAACAGAGAGATATTTGAGTTTTTCTTGACTCTCAGGGATTTCTCTCAGGCAATAAAATCTTCGGCATGTTAAGAGTTGGTTGTGGCCAGCTCAGTGGATTGCTGTAGGAAAGTCCTGGATTCATTCTTGGATACACAGAATCAGGGGCGGACTGACCATTTGGAAATTCGGGCACTGCCCAAGGGCCCGGGGTAAGTAGGGGGCCCCATGAGATGCCCATGGTACCTTTTTCATAGGCTTTTTTGAGTTGGGCAAGGACACAGGGGCCCCATGATCCCCTATTGCCTGGGGGCCCCATGAGTTGTCAGTCCGCCCCTGGTCATGGATGGACTTATTGCACAGGTGGCCACCTATCACGGGACCACGCTTGGAGTCACTGAGCTCCTGAGAGCGACCCATTCTTTCACCAATGTTTGTAGAAGCCGTCTGCATGCCTAGGGGCTTGATTGTATACACCTGTGTCCATGGAGGGGATTGGAACACCTGAATCACATGATATGGGGGGGATTGGAACACCTGAATCACATGATTTGTAGGGGGGAACAATACTTTTGGCAATATAGTGTATGTAACTGCCCTTGCTCTGGAAGCATTTTCTTTTGCATGCAACCAACATGGAGACCCAGCTGTCAGATTTCCTGGGAAGACCGGTTTTAAATCATTTGATCAATGTGGTCACCCAATCACAGCAATCACTGATGTGACAACCTGCCCAGGTACTGTTTTCTCCCTTGTGACAAGGACAAGATACGTTTTTTGCTTCTCCTGGGCTCTCCTGTTCCTCTGGGCAGCCCAGGACTGATGTAACCAGTCAAATCGGATGCACTGTGAAGAGTGGAAGGAATTAAAGTTCCTTCCTGCCATCTGTGACTTCAGAGACCAAAAGCAACAGGGATTTGGTCACGTTCGGTTTCAGTTTGTTTGTTTACGAGCCGTTACCGGCTTGTGACGCAGCCAATCAAACTGATATTGGTCTGATTGGTTGCTTTGAAGGGCAGAGGAGCGATATGGGGACCCCGCCATGGCCAAGGTGTTTGTTTCAATAACTTTAGTTGTGTCACTACAGGAGTCACATGGTCCTATGTATGTTATTCAATGCACTGTTTACTAAACAAACATTCGCGCCATGGCTACATTTTTCATTATTCCCGAATGCCCTATTTTATGAACAATTCACATGGCCTCCAATATTCAATTTCCATCCAACGAAAGAAAATCAGAATCACGAGTCGCTATATTCTAAAGTTTGCCTTAGTTTCCCTTTATCCTCTTGTCTTGTGAATGCAAAGGAAATACAATGAAAAACAAAGAATTCAATGAAAAAACAACATAAAAGTGAATTGTTGAATGGCGGAGAAGGCAGATCAGAGATTCTTGGTATAACGCAGCAGCTGAGGGAACCCTGAAGAGCTTTTCCTTACAACACATCTCCTGGATCCCGCTGCTTCCACTTGTTCACAATCTATCGCTCATTACACCCTTTAAAATATATTTTTTTTCTCGGCACAATAGTATATTAAACTGCCGCTGTTATGTTTGAGCTCAGCTTAAAGAGAACCTTCCAAACTAATTTCAGGAACAAATAGAAGCCAATCCCCAATAAAGGTTTTCAATGTGCTTTACTGAAAGAAAAAAGAAAAAGGGTCATTTGGGAACAGAAGCTTTACATCCAAGTTTTCATTTTATATTGAAACAAACTCTGAATGGTAAAACATAATTGGTATAGTTACATATTCACATAGTCTGGCTGAAAAAAGTCCATCCAGTTCAACCATTAAAAAAAAATAAAAAGTTATAATCCTACACCCACAGTTGATCCAGAGGAAGGAAAACCCAGCAAAGCATGACCCAATTTGCTCCTGCAGGGGAAACATTCTTTCCTGATCCCCCCGAGAGGCAATCGGATATTCCCTGGATCGACTTTACCTGTAAATGTTATATCCAGTTATATTCTGTGTATCTAGGATCCCGTATATCATAATAATACTATAAGGGATACAAAAACACATTCATTTAGTATATGTAGCCAAGTTTTCAGAGGTCACAAACATTTTTCCCTGTTGGACGTTTTGCTCCTTACCTATGACACAGCTATTGAGTGTCTTCAACCCTGGGGGCAACCATTTTGGGGAGAACCATGAACAATGTTCAACTTTGGAGTGTCTTCAACCCTGTTGGGTGACCATTTTGGAGATGACCATGAACAATGTTCAACTTTGGAGTGTCTTCAATCCTGTTGGGTGACCATTTTGGGGATGACCATGCATGAACAATGCTCAACTTTGGAGTGTCTTCAACCCTGTTGGTTGACCATTTTGGGGATGACCGTGAACAATGCTCAACTTTGGAGTGTCTTCATCCCTGGGAGCTACCATTTTGGGGAAGACCATGAGCAATGCTCAGGTATAAAGTGTCTTCAGCCCTGGGGGTGTCCATTTTGAGGAAGACAATGAACAATGTTTGGCTATACAGTGTCTTCAACCCTGGGAGTGACCATTTTGGAGAAGACCATGAACAATGCTCAGCTATGGAGTGTCTTCAACCTGGGGGACCATTTTGAATAAAACAATGAACAATGCTCATGAATGAAGTGTCTTCAACCCTAGGGATGACCATTCTGGGGAAGACCATAAACAATGTTTGGCTATACAATGTCTTCAATCCTGGGAGTGACCATTTTGGGGAAGACCATCAACAATGCTAATCTATGCTGTGTCTTCAACCCTGGGGTAACCATTTTGGGGAAGACCATGAACAATGCTCAGCTATAAAATATCTTCAACCTTGAGGGTCATTTTAGGTGAGCCAATATGTATGCTAGATGGATTGTGATTGGGGCAAGGAGGACATGTGGACTGCTGTGGATTTGGGAAGGACAGAGCCAGCTGGTATCAACTATGAATTGTGGGGTATGTAGTTCCAAGACAGACTGTGTTCTCGGATTGGAGGAGAGACTACATATTCCAGCACTACCAGAGCTCTATGATGAGGAAAAGGCTCAAGGCAGTTGTGGTATGGACATTATGGGAGACAGCTGTTAGCGGAACGTTTTATCACCCCATCAGGAATGCAGGGAGGCAGAGTAGAAGACAGCACCTGATACATAGAAACATAGAAAAGTGACAATAGAAAAATACAGAGTGGTCCATCGAATCTGCCTGGTTTTTTTTGTGTGTGTGTGGTTTTTTTTTGGGGGGGGGGGTTCTTTTTTTTGTTAACTCTTTTGTCTGAGACTAGATCTCTGCTTGTCCCAAGCATGTTTTAAGCTATTTACTGTTGACTGGCTCACTACCTCTGCTGGAAGTTTACTCCAAGCCTCAACTACTTTTTCAGTATAATAATACTTTCTGAGATTAGTTTTGAACTTTCCTCCAGTTAGTTGGAGGTCCTGTCTTCGTGTTCTTGATTTTAGTTTCGTGTTGAAAATCCCGACCTCCTGAACCTTATTCACCCCCTTGATGGATTTAAAGGTTTCAGTCATGTCTCCCCTTTCCATTCTTTCCTTCAAAACTGCACATGTTAAGTTCCTGAAGTCGCTCTTGATATGTTTTATCCCCCCCCCCCCCCCCAGACTTTCCACCATTTCTGTTCCTCGTCTCCAGAACTGGACACAGTATTCTAAATGAGGTCTAACTAAATATCTATATAGAGATATCAGGACCTCCTTCCTCCTGCCAGTGACCCCTCTAGTGATATAAAGATCTATATAAAGGAATCAGGACCTCCTTCCTCCTGCCGGTGACCCCTCTAGTGATAGGATCTATATAGAGGAATCAGGATCTCCTTCCTCCTGACGGTGACCCCTCTAGTGATAGGATCTATATAGAGGAATCGGGACCTCCTTCCTCCTGCCGGTGACCCCTCTAGTGATAGGATCTATATAGAGGAATCAGGACCTCCTTCCTCCCGCCGGTGACCCCTCTAGTGATAGGATCTATATAGAGGAATCAGGACCTCCTTCCTCCTGCCGGTGACCCCTCTAGTGATAGATCTATATAGAGGAATCGGGACCTCCTTCCTCCTGCCGGTGACCCCTCTAGTGATAGGATCTATATAGAGGAATCAGGACCTCCTTCCTCCCGCCGGTGACCCCCTCTAGTGATAGGATCTATATAGAGGGATCAGGACCTCCTTCCTCCTGCCGGTGACCTCTCTAGTGATATAAAGATCTATATAGAGGAATCAGGACCTCCTTCCTCCTGCCGGTGACCTCTCTAGTGATATAAAAATCTATATAGAGGAATCGGGACCTCCTTCCTCCTGCCGGTGACCCCTCTAGTGATAGGATCTATATAGAGGAATCGGGACCTCCTTCCTCCTGCCGGTGACCCCTCTAGTGATAGGATCTATATAGAGGAATCAGGACCTCCTTCCTCCTGCCGGTGACCCCTCTAGTGATATAAAGATCTATATAGAGGAATCTGGACCTCCTTCCTCCTGCCGGTGACCCCTCTGGTGATATAAGGATCTATATAGAGGAATCAGGACCTCCTTCCTCCTGCCGGTAACCCCTCTAGTGATATAAAGATCTATATAGAGGAATCAGGACCTCCTTCCTCCTGCCGGTGACCCCTCTAGTGATAGGATCTATATAGAGGAATCAGGACCTCCTTCCTCCTGCTGGTGACCTCGATGGGGATATAAAGATCAATATAGAGGAATCGGGACCTCCTTCCTCCTGCCGGTGACCTCTCTAGTGATATAAAGATCTATATAGAGGAATCGGGACCTCCTTCCTCCCGCCGGTGACCTCTCTAGTGATATAAAAATCTATATAGAGGAATCGGGACCTCCTTCCTCCTGCCGGTGACCCCTCTAGTGATATAAAGATCTATATAGAGGAATCAGGACCTCCTTCCTCCTGCCGGTGACCCCTCTAGTGATAGGATCTATATAGAGGAATCAGGACCTCCTTCCTCCTGCCTGAGACCCCTCTAGTGATATAAAGATCTATATAGAGGAATCAGGACCTCCTTCCTCCTGCTGGTGACCTCGATGGGGATATAAAGATCAATATAGAGGAATCAGGACCTCCTTCCTCCTGCTGGTGACCTCAATGGGGATATATAGATCTATATAGAGGAATCAGGACCTCCTTCCTCCTGCCGGTGACCCCTCTAGTGATAGGATCTATATAGAGGAATCAGGACCTCCTTCCTCCTGCCTGAGACCCCTCTAGTGATATAAAGATCTATATAGAGGAATCAGGACCTCCTTCCTCCTGCCGGTGACCCTTCTAGTGATAGGATCTATATAGAGGAATCAGGACCTCCTTCCTCCTGCCGGTGACCCCTCTAGTGATATAAAGATCTATATAGAGGAATCTGGACCTCCTTCCTCCTGCCGGTGACCCCTCTGGTGATATAAGGATCTATATAGAGGAATCGGGACCTCCTTCCTCCTGCCGGTGACCCCTCTAGTGATAGGATCTATATAGAGGAATCAGGACCTCCTTCCTCCTGCTGGTGACCTCGATGGGGATATAAAGATCAATATAGAGGAATCGGGACCTCCTTCCTCCTGCCGGTGACCCCTCT